GAATTCTCACCTAAGTGTCCTATTTTTAATGGCTTCGAGTTTTTTTGTATCCGCTTTCTTAATTTTGAAATTCCTTTCATCGTAGAGACAGATGGGAATATATGAGTAGTTTTCGTTTAACTTCGAAGAGACCTTATCCGCTTCTTTTGTTATATTGTTCAAATATGGTAGATTTAGAGAACAATGGAACCTCACACCAGTTCATATTTAAGCAAGTACATTGTAAAGCTAGTTCGATTATATAGACGACGGCGTGCTGATTACATATACACGACGGCGTGCGCTACGAATAAAAGTCTACTGTGGAACCAAACGCTGTCTTATCCTTGACGTCCGTATAAGCTCGCTCGAAGTAGATCTCCGTGTACCAGGAAATCGTGACGACTTTCCGTTCTCACAAGCAGAGTGGTCTCTATCTAGTTATTTCCCACGTTTTGTACGTTTTCCCGCGAAGTCCAGTTTAGTACGCGAAAAACCTACCATCACAGTTTCGCATGTTCTGTTAGAAAACAAAACTAATGTTACAAAAGGTATCAAAGTACTGTTTCCAAAACTGGCAACTGTGCATATCTTTTTTCTTTCAATGGAATGTAATCATTGTGAAATAAAATTGTGCAACTGCTGAAATTAAAAGAAACTGAGTCATCCTTAAAACTGCACCGAAAAGCCCCCATAAAAGATAATAGTGATGATAATAATAATAATAACAATGATGATAGTTACAGTAATGATGATAATAATAAAAAGCGAGAAGTGAAATGGCCAATCTCCCCGCTGCCGGGCTGATTGTGACTTGTCAAAAAAACATGCAAATTTGAGCACACTTGAATTACTTTACTGGAAACCAAGATAAAACTCAATAGCAACATTAGTGATATAACAGACAACAGGAACAAATGGTTTAACAATCTACGTCACCTCGTGAATAATCGTCTTAGCCGGCTCAGTTGCCTTATTCGGAACCATCTCGGCGAACGGATATGTAACATTTATGATAAAATCCGTTAACCACTGAAATTCGTTAAAAATAAACTCGGCCAAACATTGAAGTCCATTCCAAAGAAATTCAGACAACCGTTCAGCACAGTTCCACAACAATTTTCCAAGCCATCTTGCTCCGCTCCACGTCAAGTCTGAAAACCATGCGACTTTTCCCCGAGTCCAATCAACCATTCCAATCCAGCTGTATTAGAGTCCATTCGACATTTTCCCACCCACTGCCCTTGAGACTATAATGCATTTTTTCCACATCCCTCTGGTCAAGTCCATCGTACCGTCACGCACCTGAGTCATTATAGTTACTGTAAAATATGAATTCAGGGTATGTCTTCTCGAAAGCATCAAAGTCAAAGCAAGCTGTGTTTCCGAGATACTGAGAGATTTTCTTGCACTTGAAGATCTGACAATAATATTTAGAGCAGATATTGGCTATGTCAAATTCGAAAAAGTAGTTCGGTTATTGTAGCAATTTCGAAAACGAAGCTAAGAGGGTTAAACGGAAATGAACTATCAAGTCTAATACCTTTACAATTTTAGGTCTATTGTAGTCATGGGATTTGCCATTTAAGTCAACAGCAGTTTTTTCGTAAATCAACTTCAGTTCAAGATCCATGGACGGAATTTGAATCTTAACTGCAACCCCCTGTTCAAGACAGAAAAAATTATAGGAAATTGCTGGCAATGATTTCGTTTTGCAAATATGTTTGGATCAATTTCTGAATAATTTTAAAAGCTCCAAACACTAAAAAAAGTGGTCCACGCGGCTGGAGCTTATTCCAGTTTCTATAGCTCCGGAGTTCATTACAGATTACTGATCCTCCTCAATTTCTCAGGTTTCCGTAACGACTAGCGCATCCCCAATACCTATTCATACTTCCTAAGTGAAGAGAGACGCTGCAAGAGTTAAGTGTCTTCCCCGCGAAGCAAGGTTTCAAGTTACAAATGGAGTATTTCTTGAACTACATTTCTTCGCAGCCAACAATATGTCATCATCTTGTGTTAGTCGAAATCATTCCGCACTCACCCCTCACAATCTTGAGCGAGGGTTTCTGCACGAAAGAAAAATGAAAACTAATAATGATAGTGGAAATATGTTGTAATTGTTATGTTCAGTAGATTTTCCATGGTTGAAACGTTTTGAAATTCTTTCAGATTCACCTACTCGTCGGTTCTTTGAAATGATTAAGGCCCATTAATTTGGTTAGTGGAGAGAATTTGGCGCAACAAAACCGTTTGTAGAGTGCGCGCTACGAAGAAATGAACTTAGAACCACGCGCACAGCTACCATAGCAACTAGAAACATTTGTTATGTGGAAAGTGATTTGAAATACTTTTCATAAGAATGTGCTTTGCTAAAAGTTCAAACCTCTTTACTCAACAGATTTAGCAACGAAAACTGTGAGATTTCTTTAAAGAGTGTCGACCTCATGAAATGAAGATACAACTTATTTAAATCCTTTAATTAGTACAAGAGAGTCATTACCTGCTAGGCTTTAAGATAGAGAAAAATTTTTATTCAGAGGGAAAAAAGCTTATCCTCCAGTTTTGCCTCTGAAAACACAAATAAAAGCGAAAGCGCAATCAGCGTAATCACCTTCTTCATCTCCGCTTTGTCTTCAAACTTTATTTCCTCTCTCACGAAGTGCAAACCTGCCCTAGCCGCGAAAACGTGTGAAGTAAAGATCGACGTCACAATGACTGTTTAAGGCCGTGCGGCAGTAGCGTGAGATGGTTGCCAGACTCGATCCCACGCCCTGCTGGCTTTAAAGAGCACCAAGTAGGCATTAAGATAAAACATTCAGATAAAAGCGCCTTGCCATAATGTGGTATTCTTTTTGTTGACCTCACGGTAATATTGATGGCCTGCACGGTTTACGGTCATTTCTTCCCATGGTAATTTCGCCTCCTGTCACTTCACTCCAACCAAAAGTCAGTTCGCTCCATAATCGAAGCCACTTCACTTCATGCAAAAGTTACTTCGCTCCATGTTACAAGTCAAATGTATATGTGCTTGCAAGATTGTATTTGCCTAACTGATGTTATGCGATCTTGACATGTTTGTAATTGTTCGTTTCACTCGCCCTAATCTCTCTCTGTCCCCCACGCCATGCGCTCAAAATGTGCTCGAATCATCGCCAGAAATCAAGGACATTTCGAGCCCGCTAACAATTATCAGCGGTATATCGTATTACACTCCAGAACAATAGAATATCAAGAGAATTCAATATGGCGGCGATCACGGCTCGATCTGCAAAGAAGAGTGTTTCGTACCATGACTTATACAATTTGAGCACCGCAGATCTTCTATTTGATGAAAAGAAAAAGAAAAGAAGACCTGCAAGTAAATCTTTGGGATTTTTCGAGGCAAAGCGATCACATGATGTCAGGATTTTGATTTGCTTTAATTTAATTTTCGCGCTAAGACTACTGAATTTGCATTCAATGCCTGGCATATTTTTATTCCGAAAAGGACCGAGAACTAATTTAATTCCCTGCAAGAACATAAACAAATATGGCCGACGATTCGAAGATCAGCGTTGCTCGTGTTTAACCATTTCAGTCATAGTTTTCAAGATGGCGTCTCGTCACTTACTCAACATGGAAAATAAGGGATATTCTGGCGCGTTGGGAACTTTTTTGATGGGAGGAAATGGCAATTTTACAGGATATTTGGACGCTTCGAACTCTGTAGCAGTCAATTCGATCGAGAGCAGTTGACTTAATTGATGCACTTTCCTGTAATAGGCGAGTGTTTGGGATAGAGAACGAGGGATTTTGAAGAACTGTATGGCGACCTAGGTCAATAATCAATGACAAAAGAACTGGCTCGGGAAGTAAGTGGTTTTTATTTATCGAGTCCCTGTGAGGTTTGATGAATAGCAGAATCAGTACTGAATATGTCTCGATCGAGAGCAGACGGGACCATGAGCTCCTGATTGTTATATTTTTGAAATTTTACAAATTTCCATACAGTTTCTTATATTATTTGGACGCCATTATGGAAGAAATGCGCAAGCGCGGCCGCCATCTTGTCCAATATTTCTGCCGATGTTCAAGAAGTTTATATATCAGACATAGTTTGATGCTACTCTGGTTTGCAGATTTAATGAATGTAACCGAAGAAGTTACAATTCATAGACCCTAAAATAAGAGTTTCGACACTCCTGTCTAGTGCCTTCATCAAGAGGTCCTTTTTTATGATCACTAATTAGCGGCCTTTTTTCTGACGAGTTGTAAATAGGCGTCAGGAAGCAAACCGCCATCTTCACGATTTAAAGGAGTGTGGGCGGAGTTAATATGCCAAGCCTCCAAACAAAGGCGCTAGTGGTCACGCCGATTAGTGGTGATAATTTTAGAATTATCCCACCTAATTGTATGGTTAATTAGGCATGTATGCTCCGTTAAAGCTGAATTTTCCTTTTTGCGAAGGAAAACCACTTTTTGGTGCTCTTTTAACCGTGTACCAAACTGACGTTTGGTCTGTCCGATGTATTCGTTGTCACAGTCATTGCAAGGAATAGAATAATTGGCGTCGGTTCGTTGTTCTTTCGTGACAGGATCCTTAGGTTTGGCGAAAATATGCCCCAAAGTCTGAAAAGGTTTTTGAGCAACTTTAACGTTGTGGCTATTCAAAATTCTCTTGATGGGTTCCGTAACACCTGTATGTAAGGAATAACAGCAAAACCAGTCACTGGTTCCCTTTCATCAAGAGCGTTACTAATTGTAACTGGTTTTTGGCAGTTACGGAGAAAGGTTTTTGTATAGCCATTTTCCTTTAGGACATTGGAGACATATTTCCTCTCCTCAGCCTTCGAATCGAGTGAAGATGGTAGACAGTCAGCCCTCCTTAGTAAAGTTTTGGCTACAGACTTTTTATGGCAAATAGGGTGGTGAGAATCGAAGGCGAGGTATTTGTCGGTGTGGGTAGGTTTACGGTAGACACTTGTCTCTAAATTACCCTGAACCCCTCTGGACACATTTAATTCAAGAAAGGGCAAATGTTTATCCTTTTCACGCTCAAGGGTGAATTGGATCGACGGCTCTACTGAATTCAAGTGCGACAAGAGGCGCTCCGCTTCATTTCCGGATATCGCAGAAATAACATCATCGACATATCGTTTCCAGAAAAAGGGTTTAACTGGTGAAGTGGCTAAGGCCCTTTGTTCCACGTCTTCCATTACCATGTTGGCAATGACAGCAGAGACGGGCGAACCCATCGCTGTACCAAAAACTTGTTGATAGTAGGTGCCGTTATATGTGAATTGCGTGGTTTTGAGGCAAAAAAACAACAGATGAATAATATCCTCCACAGGCAAAGAAGTTCTTTGTAGGGAAGCATCTTCTCTGAGTCTCTCCTCCGCAACCTTAACGGCAAGATCAACTTGGATTTTAGTGAAGAGCGAAACAACGTCGAAAGATACTAATTCTTCACAAGCGTTAAGAGTTTTATCTCTTATGAAATCCGCAAATTCGCAGGAATTTTTGACAGTGTAATCAGTATTCCCGACAACAGGCGACAAAATTCTCGCAAGATAACCAGAAATAGCATAAGTCGGAGAATTAACAAAAGAGGCTATGGGTCTCAAAGGAATTCCCAGTTTATGAATTTTAGGTAAGCCATAAAAACGTGGGCATAAGCCGTCACTACTGTATAACATTTTATACGTAGAGTCACTAATTTTACCAGCTTTTTTCAAATCAAGCAACATTTTGTTTAACTTTCTTTTAGTTTTACTGGTAGGATCAGAGTTTAAGACAGCATACGTACTCTTGTCACTAAGCAGAGACAAAGCTTTGTCGTGATATTGCTGTTTGTCCATAACCACAACACAATTACCCTTGTCAGCAGATAATTCGAGCCTGTCCGGATCCTTTTTGAGAGCTATAAGCGCATTGAAAACATCCTTTTGAATGTTATTGGGAGGAGGTTTAGCACGCCTGAGTATGCTACTTACTTCTGCTCTTACCAAATGCCTACGATCGTCGTTGAGTTGAGAGATACTCTCCTCAACTGATTTATTGCGCGTGTAGTTGCATAAAACTTCTGTTATCTCAAAATGGTTCTTAAAGGATTCTCTATCACTCTTAGATTAGTAAACTTGCAACGTGACGCCTTAAACTGCTTTTAGTTTTTCAGTTCAACTTCATTAATTAAGACTGTATTGTTCTTTTCTTGTCACATCTACTACCCACACAATGTGCGAACTTTAATGGAGGTGAGACTTCAGTAATCAATTAGTAACCAATCAAAGCGCGTTTTTTACCAAATTGAAAATTTGATCGAAGGGAACTGTATACAAGGTGGTCGACTCTTACTCGATTATCATATCAGCATTGAGCTTCAATCGCTACTTTATCAAACAGTTAAAATTCGCGTCATCGTTAACATGTCTGCAGAATGTATTGCTTGCCAGAATCCAATACGAGCACGTCAGCAAGGCCTCCAATTTGATAGTTGTTTTCGCCGGCAACATCGTACTTGTGGAACGGGAATCCCAGTGTGATTACCGTTTTGCTGAGCAAACTGGTGCTTCCATCGACTGGCGCTGTGTTACCTGTCTGTCCATGTCGCTGTCTGAGAGTACGCCTGTCGCTGAGAGTACGCCTGTTGACTTCGCCGGGTCTATGTCCACCCTCTACGAGCCACTTGCCGATCCTGCTGTTGATGAATCATCAATCCTTGAGCCACTACCTGCAGCCGTAGAAAACGACTCTTCCTTTACTGTCACCTTCCAAATCCTGGAAGACTCCACGACGAAAGGCAGACCGAAGCTCGTAGACAGTAGGGACTAGGCTGATAAACCATCACAAACAAAAGACAAACGGCTCCTTTAGGAGACACCAAATAAAATAAAAGCAATGATCAACAATGCAATACATGCTAATACATAGAGTACACAGAAAAACTAAAAACATGACAGTTCTTTTCATAAAAATATAAATTCCTTGAAAAAGTCGAAGAATTTACGCAAACTTAAGGTTATCTTTATTTAAACTCGTAACCTTTTCTAAAAGGGGGTTTTGAGGGATTACAACGCATAGGAATTCGTGTTGAGGAAAGTAATCGAACGAAATGATATTTTGTGTTTCTAAGTGTAAGCGAACGCGAATGGAAGCTGCATTAGTTAATAAACCTGAACTGACATAAGCTCAAAATCAGTCCAACTTCAGCTGTAGCGAAGTAACTTTTGTATGCAGCGAACTTACCCGAGGTGACTGGGGACGAAATGACCATGGGGCGAAGTGACCAGATACTGCCTGCACAATATCTATTGATGTCATAAGAGCAGAAGAGGGTTATTTAGAAATGGGACTGCTACGCTGCATCGTGCTGCCCTAACCTTAAACGTGGCCTCGTCATAATCATTTATGAATGACCATTCTCTGGGAACATTTATCAAACGATATTTCAGTTTTGGCAATAATTTTTATTGTTTTCTGGAGGGAATAACGTTTAATATTCTGCCTAGTCTTATAGGATGGTTTGTATGGTAGCCTTATCTGATCAAAATAAATTCATTATGCTCTGGGGTTTGACTCAGTTTGATCTTCATACTCGTGGACGGTTGTCTTTTCACATTTCCAGTACGTGCACATTTTTCATGGCATAAAAGGTGAATAATGCTTTTCGTGAGCGCTGATTGACTAGTTCGCAAGCGGAAAGCGAGCGTTACTATTTACCTCCGAGTAGCCTTTGAGACAAAATTACGCATCAACAGTTTAACTTCTGACCATTTTACGATATATTGAAAGAAACAAACTTATTTTTTTGTATCTGTGAGGTATATAGTAAAACAATTATTCACCTCAGTGTCGTTGAAAGTGGTGGATATTTACGTACCGAGCCGCCAAGCGGTGAGGTAAATATTCACCACTATCCGCCTCCACTTCGGTGACTAGTCGTTAAAAATCTGCAACATGCTCTTTTTTTTCTCTCTTACGATCTTGCCACTATGTTTTTTCAGAACGGAGTGACACGCCATTTTACCAGAAATTTTAGGTCTGGATAAGCTGAGTAAAATTCGCGGAAATCTCATTTAAACACTTGATAACGAAGTTCTTATTTGGGAGGTGAAGTAGCCATTTTGGTGGCAGGAGGAACCTATTAAAGAGAATCGGGTACAACCAAGCTGCGATTAAGCATATCATAACATTTTATTTTTTTAGTTTTTACTTTATTTTTTTATTGTGTATTACTCTTATTCGGCCGCTTAAAAAATTATCAATTGTTTGCATAAATTTCCAAATCCGTTATCTCCCGGGGTTAGAATTACTTTCACTTCTTTTTTCGTTTTACCGTTCTACATTGTGTTTGTGTAAAGTATTGCGCCCTGCGGAGCACTTGGGGGATGTGTTGTAATTCAAATTTTACTAGAAGAAAACTTCTTTTTTATCTCTTGCGTAACATAAAAAGTTCTCCCGTAAAACGATTTCGTAATAACCGAAGAAAACAAGTCATCGATCTCATGAAATTACGTGAAATGAATTTTTGAACCTCATCCATAGAGATATTTGTAATATTGATTAAAATGCGATTCATTAGAGAATTTTATTTCTACCAACTTATGACAATGTTCTGGGTTTTTTCTTTTTTTTTCCTATCATAATTTATACTTTCCTAGCTTTGTACTTAAGAGTCCTAAAGGTTTATTTTATGAGGTTAAAATTGTGTCCTAATTTTTTTATTATTATTTTTGTTGTTGTTTGTGATGTTTTTCGTAGGGAGATCATCACCCGAGGCGCAAATTACTGAGGTATTGTTATAATGATTGTAACGTGTTGTCAAATTACAGGGTATAATGTGACATTTCGTTTTAGCACTAGACAAAGTTCAGTGAATGATTTAAATATTTGGCATCGGAAAGATCATTTTGCTTATCCTCTACGTGTTTCTTTTCCATTTTCTCCCACACTTAGCTAAAATCACATCGCGTGAGGAAAGTATATTTATAGCCTTAAGTCAATGTTTCAGCGCAAACTTCACAGTCATTGCGGGGTGTCCCTTAGCTATTTTAAGTCGACATAACGTGTAATCAGCGAAAATCCAGCAATCAACTTGAAAGTTTTTACACCTCGGTCATAAACCTCTTCCAAAGACATATGATTTGACGAAACTTGTCTTAATCTACTCCGACAAATTTCCCTGCAAACCCGGCTTAATTAGTGGCAAACAGTGTGACATTGTTATATTTATCCTCACTTGAGTATGACACGAGTTTACAGAATCTTTAGGGGCCATCTATAGTTTTGCTTAGCCAAAATTTTCATTAAGTCAATTGAAAAGAAAACTTATTGGTTGCGCACGCCGGGCAGGTGTTTAAATGTTGCTAGAAATAATACAAAAGTAAAAATTTTGCGTGACGATCAAGAGTCGACCGAGAGATTTCTTCGGCATTATCGCCTTTTGGTACAAGCTCAAGACTTAAATTAGTTTTAGAACAGAGAGGTGAGCTTTGAATTTTTGTCTTTTCACATCGTTCAGTTATCGAATTTTGATTTTAAAAACATAGCAGAATTTAGAATTTGGGCGAATAAGGACAGGAGAAATACAACTAGTTGGGCAGCTAAACACCATTGCCTACACTGAAACTACAACGAAGCAAACGAGAACTTCAAAACGCTAAGGTCTTGAAATTGCTGAGAGAGATTTCAGTTTAACGCAGCTCACTGTCATTTCATTCTCATGAACTGGTCTAACCACATTTCAGATCTTTCATTCAGATCTTTCATTTATAGCCTCTACCCCTATCAATATTTTTACATCGGGTTCAAGGACCATGGAATTTTTCTGCGACAGTACTATTGGTTAGGAAGAGAAATACTTTTTTGTAAGTAATACAAATGAAAAAAAGAATATGAGCAAATAATGAAATTTCAGATGACAAATTCAAATTGTCGAAATGGTTTTTTCCCCATTTATTTTAACTAAGCTTAATGAAGCCGGTGATGTTATCAAGAGAATATAACTTGGCGCTGGTGCCAGATGCTCAGAAGACGAATATTTAAGCAAAGAGTTAAAAGATTTTTTTGTGAGCTAACTCTCAGCTTCTAAGCTGGATCTTCTAAGATAGATGTCAAAAATATTATTACAATCTAAAAGAATAACAGTTTTACTTCGATAAAGAGACAGGTGTTTATTTCTGTCATTTATACGTTCGTGAGCCTGATTTGATCTTAGTGCATATCACGATATTGGAAAAGTTCTTGCAAATAAGAAAAATGAAATTCTAAAAGCTAGATGCTTTCTAAGCACCATACGTGCTAACTGCCACCTGTTAAATGACTTTCCCACTCAAATTTAATCGGAAATGCATCATATTGCACAACAATAAGGAAAACAAGTCTGAACCTTTCTTGCAAAATTTTCTCAGCTTCTCAGCTGGGTCAGGAAATATTATGCAAACATGTTTTAAAATTCATGTTAAACCTTCGGAGCACCTTAGTTGACAACCTGCTGCTCGTATTTCAATGCAGATCACATTGCGAACTCAAAATATTGCACAAGACGTGGTAGCATTTGATTTAATGTTGAAAGTCCAAGTTCCTTATTTTTTTATTTATTTATTTATTTTTTTTTTGAGGCAAAGAAATTGACATCGAACCCTCTGGCGTGTAGTCTCTCTGTAGTTTCCTTCATACGATAATTTCGATCGATGACCATCTCGATGACTGCGTTAGGAATTCTGATAGGAAACCGTTTGGTCACTACAAGATTAAAAAATTGTCGTAAAAGGCAAGACTTTAGCATGAAGAATACTCAGTTACCATGTAGTGGCGTAAATTAATGTATTACCATTCTACAAGTAACACGCCTTAAATGTCCGTGAGCCGTGTCATATTTAATTACATACGATGTACATTTGTTATGCTTTCAGCCTCACATCACCAAAGTTGATAACTTGCATAATTACATCTATCGGTGTGATTTTCCACGGAATAACTTAGCGCGACTAAGGAAAAATTAACATTAAAAGTGAGGTGAAGAAGAGTTCAGCTGATCCTTTTGAAAAATCATCATCTTCAATCATCCGTGCTTTTTCGAGTTAGCAGAAGTTACCTTCACTGTTACAGTATTTTTACTGCAAAACAGGCAAGCTGGCGCCACTGTTAAGACTGCTCTCCTTTGTTTCACTTGACATGATCACCTACTTGTTTTAAATGAAAAAGAAGGGGCCGTAATCTATTGCGTTTTTTATTTCTTTAATTTCACTGAAGATAAAACATAGACAGATATCGAAATTTCTAGAAGTTTATTCACTGGTGTTTAGTTGTCAGTCCCATTACAATATTTTTTCCCCTTTTACTAAGTGATAGCCTTTGCCTGGGCCAATATTTGTTTTTCGTTTCCTCATATTGCGCTAAAGATTGATGACATATAATTTTTCTTTAAACAAATTTTACGATCTCAGAGGAGGGAGATTTGTCATTTTAAGTTCAAAGAAAGCAAAGTACAAATCGGTAATTAATGTTTACTGTTCCCATGGCGCTATTCCTCATTGGTTTCAACCAAATTAGAAAATCATGAAACATTAACCGCTGCCGGTCTCAGGAACTTATCCAACCTGTTTGGATATGAGTTATGCTATTGTCTAAAGTAACACAAGCAGACGCCAGTCCCGAGTAAATAGTATAGCTTACGACTAACTTACAACGTGTCTAAAAGCCAGTTTTCTTCTCAGTACGATCTGAAATAGCTGTAAACTGAAAATAGAACAGTAATAGCTACCTCTAGATTTCTTGACAGTTTTCAGTAGCAAAACGCTTAAATAATATAACGCATCTTAAAAACCTTTCAAATAGATGTCGTTTGTCGGTTTTAATCTCCTCGGGAAAGAAAACATCCCTATAACAATTCTTTGTCAGGGATTGCGACCAATTTTTCAGATCAGTCTGAATCAAAATCTCAAGCAGCTAAGAAAAACATGATCCAAAAATACGGAAATACTTAAAAATCGAACGCAAGTGTTCTCTTCCAGGCATTATTTGCATTTTCGGATAAGGAACAAAAATGAAAATTGACCACCGAACAGGGTTGCTTTTCGTCAAACAGTGAGTGCACTCATCGAGCGGACTGAATGAGTGTAATAATTCTCAGAAATAAAAATACCCGCTGTCTCCTCATTACTAACTCTTTAAGCTAAACAATCTAAATAGAACTTTTCGAACATCTCCAATAGGTTCATTACATGTACAACTGAGAGAAACGTTATGGACGATAACACCACGTGTCCTCCAACAGCGACCGTCCCTTCCACAGCACCGCCTCCAAAGAGCCAGGACACCACTCTGAACGTGATTTTCTGGGTTATCGCTGTTGTTTCCTTCACTTCCAATTCGTTATTTTGCATTGTGCTTCTTAGAAAACGGTCCATGCTACGGAAGGCCCATAATATTCTACTGTTCAGTTTAGCAGTAGTAGACATGCTAACTGGTGGGTTTCATTGGCCGGCTCTGTATGTTTTATCAAGTTGCGCTTTCTTTTAACTCCCAAAAGAGACTAACATGAAACTTCTCCCTGTAATATCTCTTAATTATTCAGCAAACAGGTGATGAGAATACTGACACTTATTAGGTAGATTTTTGTTATCCTCATCTAACAACAAATTCTCATAACTAATTCACAAGGAAATCTGTAACAGCTAGAGGGGAGAATTGACAATAAGATAGTGGGTTAATCCATGCAGCTTACTCAAATTTAGACTACACACCTGCCAATCCCTGCCCAATTTTTTAAGTCAAAAGCGTGACATTCTCATCCTCAGAGTGCTAGATTTTTCGTGAAAACCCGATCACTTCCGGAGAAAAGTGCGCTTAGTTGCCAGAGTTCCTCGCTTCCTAGGAAAATACAAAGAAAGTCATAAAAAAAGGGTTGATATCAATATTTGCAACAATCTATCTCCCAATCAAGTCGTGTAACCTTTCGGGTAAGGGTAGTCACTCGGAAAGTAGTATTGTCGGTGCCTGTTAAAGGTCTGGTCAACTTAAGTTTAATTTTAAGTCTTCAACAGTGCTTTTCAGGGCTACTCTCACTCGGACGATCCATTTACACGATTTAATTTAACTCCGCTTTTGTAGCTACTCCCTAACCTGTACTCATCATTCTCCACATCACTCTAATTTCAATTCGTAAACCGTTTAGGAGTGTTTCTCGTGGCTACTCCCGGATATGCCATATCCAAGTCTGACTACCCAGTCCCTCTCGGACTACGTGGTGAGATTTTTTGCCGCCTGCTCGCCAACAGATATCTGCTGTTCGCAATGGGAAAAGTTTCCATACTTCTTGTGGCCTATCTGGCTGTTGAACGATGGTATTGCGTGTTCAGGCCAATCAGATACAGGAATCAGTTTAACAGAAAACGTATCATCATATCTGTTTTTATCATGTTTATTGTGACGTGTGTTCTTTCCATGAATAAGCTTTTTGAAACATGTCTCGTAGGTAATAAGTGTGTTTCGAAGAAAGCCCCTTACGGCAAGTACGGCACTCGAGCCTTTATTATCACTTACAGTTTTGTGGCATTTTACATTCCTTGTTTGTTGACATGGCTCACATTTGCCCATATTATGATAAATCTCCCATCATCCCCTGGGGAAAGCGTAGAAAATGTGAACAAACGAAGGCGACAGAGATTGCTTCTGCGCATGTGTGCCTTAACAGCGGCCGCTTTGACAATCTGTGTTTTCCCCTCACAAACCATTTACGTTCTCAGTCCTTTCGGGATCACTAAAATTGGTAGTCCTGTACATAAAGGGTTTAATATTCTTGTGTTTATCAACTCTTGCGTGAATCCGTTTATCTATTGTTTTACAAACAAAGAATACAGGAAGGAGTTTAAAAGGCTCTTGGGGTGTAACAAAGGTTATCAGGTATCTCCAGAGACCGAGATGGGACCAAATCATACTCAAGCAACTACGGCAATGAATTGATAACATTAACTGGTAAAATCAAAGAGAGACATAAAATGGGTAAAAACGGGCCTATCCTACTTTGACATAGAACATAAAAACATAGTGAAGAAACAAAGTTGTTTTGGTGGGCTCATGATCAGCGGAGATAATTGAGAAAATTTTTCCGTGACAACCGCTGTTCCCACGCATCTTCACCGACTTAAAGGTCTGGAACGGGCTGGAGACAGTATTGTATAATAGAATTTAGCGTCATGATCTAAATCTACTGCACGAAAACCTTGTTGTTCTTGCATCAAGACCAATTGTTTTACCAAGTGCAAAGAGCACGAGCTTAGTGTTAATAACTATTAATGGCGTATATTCATGATCTCATAGCATGTTTTCTTGACTTTGTATAGAAAAATTTAAAACCAAGATATCTTTTCACGTAATCTTTCTAAGTATACATTAGAACTTGAATTCATATATCTAAAAATGTGACCTCTAAAGGTGTAGCACATAGCCACATCGACAACTTTGCGCATACCTAGCGGTATGCTACTTTTTTCAGGAAAAAGTAAATAACATTTGCTTGTTTCAAAAGTTGTAACTGACTACCTGCAACTTTTCTTATTACGCATGCACTTGGTGTAATATGGTAGAATAAACCTCAATGCTGTAACAAGGAATTTGAGGTCGGTAGTGGAAATTATATGTGAAGCTTCTATAAATCTGAGAGATTGCCACATTTACAGATTTATTTTAGGACAATCAGAGATTCAATTTTTTTTCAGTTGTGTAAAAAAAGGGTAAATATGGAGATAAAAAACAAGAAAACGAAAAGCAAATTCAGTGCCCAAACTTAGAGACATTCCTTGATCTACAAAAAAATAATGCATGGAGGTACTATGTGGTAAAAACACTCAAAGCCTTTATAAGGTTTACGTTTACGCACTTTAATGTTCTACTGATTAGTAAGCTTAAAAATTAGAATCTTGGGTAATACCGATGTAACAGCCGTTGCTGAAAAAAAAACCAAATAAAATTAACTCTGTGTGCGACTGTGAATATATGAAAATCATATATATGAACTGCGGTTTAAGAAATGAATACGTAGGCGATCTTCGCAGTAATTAACACTACTTAAACAGTAGTGAAAATAAGGCCTGAAACAAATTCAGGCCTGTACGGGATTTGAACCCATGATCTCTGTGATACCAGTGTAGTGCTCTACCAACTCGGAGCTAACAAGCCAACTGGGAGCTTGTCATTATGTTAGTTCGTAATAAGCCCGTGAAGTTATGAAACCATGACTGTGAATACATGAAAATCCTATATGTGAACTGCTGTCGTTGATAAACTTTCTTTACTTCTTATAACTTTACTCTACTTACTTACTGGGATCTAGCTCTGTGCTATAGAAAAATGTTGGTCATCAGCTTAAAAATATGACACTTACTGTGCTGTCAATCTTTTACCGTCGTCACCGTTCCGCACTGAACTAGCGAATCACTTGAAACAGATTCTGAATACTAAGTACTTTCCTTCGAAACACTGACTCTTTACAAAATGAATTTCCACTTTAAATTTCTTACATTCTCAGTTAAGTTTTGGTAAAACAAAACAGGATTGGCGATACAAAAATTATAGTGAACTTATTGACGGAATTTGAATCTTATTTAAAAAGATATCTACCGAGAAAATAGCCTTTGAAGACCGTTACGTAACAACAGAATAAACAGATAATTCGAAAAAAGCGCTTATCAAATACCACCCCTAAATTAAACGAGCTTCGCGCTGAGTTATCCGATCACAAATTCAGTGCAAAGGATTAATAATGGTAATAGGACTGAGTGGAGTCCACTTCGGTCTGTAATCATACGAGCGATTAACAATTTTAACAATTTGTCTATCACAAGTATGATTACATACAGAATTGGACGACACGAAGTCCCGTTACCAATTAATCATAACCTCTATAATTTTCGAAAAAGCCAATGCATTTATCACATACATCTCCGATGAAAACAATGTCTAAAATTAAAAATCCTCCATTTTGGAAATTCTCCTTTTTTTTATCTGGATAAGTGGTTGTTGCTATGGTTATTGTGATCAGTTCTGTGATTGGTCGATTAAGTCGAGTGGACTTAGTGTGATTGACTGCTTCAACTATCCGATTACAGCCAACTGTCCGATTACACTGTCCGATTACAACTGTAAATAATGATAAGTGAAAAATAAAGCAGCTAATGCACTAATCACATTTAAGGAAATTGTAATGGTTATGATTAATAATGGTAATTGAACTGAGTTGAGTGCAATTTGGGCTGAAATCATAAGCGTGAAATCACAAGTATGATTTCAGACCAAAATTGCACGACACGAGGTTCAATTACCACTTTATTACATCCATTTTGAAATCGCCCAAATACAGGACTTGGTCAGTTCAAACATTTTATTGATGCAGTACTGAGCGGGTCAGAAATTAAATTTATCCATTTTTTGAGGGGAAAAAAGTAAGACTTTTGGAAACAAAAGTTGTAAAATTTGCCACATAATACTCTTTGTCTTTCATTTTTCTGCAATTTGATCGGTTACTTTAAACAAGCCTTGAAATCTAATTGGTCGTTTTGTTTTTAGTGTAGCCTCCTCATTGGCTGGGAAAAAGATGCGATTTAAAGCAAAAAAATCGTGCGATTCATGAATAAATCACATCAATTCGAGCCAATCAGATTACAGGGACCACCAGTGATTTAAAAATGGGTGTAGTAAATAATGGTAACAGGACCGAGTGGAGTCCAATTCGGTCTGTAATCATCTGAAAACTGATCATCTGTCCACAAGTCAAATTCACGATAGGAGAGTATAAACCTCACAGAGAGAAAAGATAACGATTACTCTACTCGTAAAGTTCTATATTTGCTGAATGGCTTTTGATAATACATTATTTCCGTTCACTTTCTAACACTTAAATGAGTTAAAAACACATATACAGAAAATTTGTGTTCGATGCTAAGTTTGTCTTTTAACAGAGTCCATCAGTCAATCAGACTCAGAGTGTTTCAAGAGAAGGGAATTTTCTGTAAGTTGAATTGCATCAGCTAATTTCCCCGCAACTGCGACGCAACGTACTAAGGGGGGGGTTAACTATGTTGCGTCGCAATGGTTGGTAAATTAGCTGCAGAGCGAGTCATGCTTAGCGAAAGGCACCAAGGACTCTCCACCTGTCCTTCATCAGTCTTCTTTAATCTTTTTTCTTAGATAAAATTCTACAGCAAATTCACTTCTCTCGCTTTTCTTCGACCACTCTTCGTAACTCTGGTTGACTCTCTCTCTTTAAATCAGACCAACCGACTATGAACTCTGTGGTACACAAATGAACATCAACCTACGCAATGCTTCCGTTCAAACAACGACTCTTTGACTGCCAAAGCCAAAACAAGAACTTAGTGTGCGTCCAAGGTAAGGTAAATAGCCCGAAGAGGACATGTTCACAGATGGAACTTAGGCACAAAAAGGCACAATCAGAAAACTCATCGAGATAGCTTAACCCGATTAACCTTGGACTTTGAATTCAAATATTTCCTAAATGCTTGATAAGAAAAAAAATTGCTAAAATTATAACTGAGTACTTTACAGCACACGCTTTTCGGGCTGGTCAACCAGTCATCGTGTGTTTCGTACGCTCTGCTAAAGTTTCTGTCAACCAAAGGACGTTTAAATGCTTTCGCGTATAATCAACCATATAACTCAATATATAAACGAGAAAGAGTTCCAAGTTGTATAGTAATTTATTTTTGTTGTAAACTACTTTCATCGCACTTTATCCAGTCCAAGATAATTCAATCCATTATACTATGCTTCCTTCGCGGATTAACAGCACTTGAGGCTAGATTTTAATTTTTACACCATAGCTGGCTCATATAGATACATCTGTTTCACTTCAGCAATGGTGTACCAGATTCAAGCTGCGAAAGATTGAAGAGCAGATTTAACGAAGCTTAAAAGTTCAGGCACAACTGCATAAGTTCTTTACGCAATAATGTAGACATCCGGAGCCCGTTTCTCGAAAGTCCCAATTGTTATTGGTCCCGAAAAGCTCTTTGCTGTTTGCCATGTTTACATTAGGGATTGGGATCTTGAGAGTCTTGAAACTTTATTAAGAAATAAAACTATATGGAAACAAACCGAGGGGACTGGTTTGTGAGCTAAGATATGCACCCCTATTACTTCAAACTTAGATTTTAAAATACGGCTCCGGCTCTGTGAAGTGACCGTGACTTTCGAGAAACGGGCCTACGTTGAAGAGGGAAAGATTCCTGTCGCACACCGTTAATAGTTGCATTTCCGTGTAGGATGAGAAATTTTCGGCATTAGGTCATTCGTCAAGTCCTGTATCGGTCAGTAACAGAACGAGACAAAACAGCCAACTGCGAGAGACACTCCATTTTTTGTGTGGACAAGTGAAAACAGCCGCTTTCATCTGCATTTCGGCGTTTTAGAGAGGAAGATAGGTGAAAACGCATCAAGTCGTCACCAGACGGGAACCCAGCAGCGTGGATAGGTGAGAGAAAAACGAAAGCGCCTGTCTGTCCAAAGATATTTTGAGTCCTTTCGGTTTGGGACTGAGAGGGATTCTTTTCAAACGAATTAGTGTTGTGGGAGACTTGGTTATACTGTATGCTTACTATTGGACATGTAGGACTGTAGTCTTATTTCGTTATATAATAGCCCACTCTCTTGAACCTTCAGAATAATAACTGAGATCCGCTGATACTGTATTCCTATCTCAATCTTACCAACCTATCTTAACACCTGACCCAGCTGAACTTCTGTTGTCTTAATAGAATAGTGCTTATGGGTCGAGTTGTTTGTTCGAAGTAAGATAGACATAGCTGCGCAAACATTTTCAAAGGCTCATTCCACCATTAGTGTCAATTGGGTTTTAAAGAAACCGATCTAAGATATTCTACATGTATCTGTAAGTTGTTCGACCGTGACCATTCTTGAGGAACCGCACTGAGTTATCTTGGAACAATTTTGCTCAACATTTGTCATGTAGAATTGCAGTAATTTTTGTCAAAGGCAGTCTCCTAGGAAGTCCACGACTTCAGAGAGTTCTCTTTTTTTGGCTTCGTGATGTGCCCATCTTTCTTCTGCAAGTTTCGGTGTTACTTTCCAACGATCATGATAAATGACTTGTTTACATGCTGGACATTTCTTTCCTCCTGTAAAAAAAAAAAAATAGTGAACGATCATGAAAAACAAGTGAATATTGAAAGAGAGTGAAGTGAATTGGAAAATATATTGAATTTGATGCTAAGAAAGTGTTCTTTTGGTTGATGGGGCGGGATTGGCAATGAAAAACTACTCTGCAACATCTCTTTGAGAGGATAAAAACATGTGCTGTGTTTCCCTTCCAAGTTTTAATGAACTTCTTAAAAAAATGTCAAACTCAATCATTACTTTAAGTCAAACAAAACAATCATCAAAGCAGCTGTTTTCATTTTAATTTCTTCTTAATCTTTCCTCATGAATTGTTTGCTAGTTGTGCTGAGATCCCAAATCAAATAGCCCTGCCTACTTTTCCCTAGTGCAGAAATCCTGCAGTACTGTAGGCTGTCAAATAATGACTTTACTTCTCTTAAAAGTTTGTCAAACAAGAGGCATCCTACCTTGAAAAGGAGGTGTTTTCATGTATTTGTCCAGACATCCATAATGAAATAGATGATTGCAGTAAACACGCTCAACATACTGATGATCTGTAGGTTCTGTAACAGCTTCCTGTGAAGAGTAAGAATGCTTTGCTTAATTATCATAACACAAGGATACAGATCTTTACCATCAGCAAGAGGCAACCTGGAATAAGCACTGCACTCACACCAAAAGGTGAAAATGTAAAATAACTCTTTTGAAATACATGTTAGTTACATTTCCCCTGGAAAACAATATAGATCTCACTCCCTATAAACTGGATCTTTAGAAGGAGAACTTTCAAAGAAAATTATGTAAACATTCCTTGCAAATGAAGTTTGAATATGTAATACTCTTCAGGTAATCAAGTATTGCCAGCCTTAAATAAGGGGCTACATAAGCTCTCTGAAAAAAATTCATTCATCTTCATGGTGCTTCATGCATGCGAGTGATGCAGTTTGGAGTTTGAAGAGAGCACATCTTCCTATCTTGAGATTACCTTTGGTTCTTCAGGGAGAGCTTTTTTTTGACATATAGGGCATCTCTCCTTAGGACATGGTCTGGCGCACTGATCAACTAGGAAATCACACACTAGCTTCAATGATGGCTTTGGTTCAAATGGTGGATCTCTGGAAATAGAAAAGTTACCATCACTAATGTTTTACTTTTCATCACCAGATACATGTATATGTTCATTAAATTTATAAAAAAGTCATGCCTATTGGAAAACAGGTCTGACTGACAACAAATGAGTCTGAAAATTCCAAGATCTTTCTTGAAAAGAAAGATCTTAGAATTTGTACCCAAGTGAAGTTTAGAGAGTTTGTGAAGAAACAATATCTTCTACAATTAAAAGCTTAATAATTCAACTTTTAAGTCAGGTTAACATACTTTGGTTTACGTCGCAAAGGTGCCTCAACACATGTTCTTGCCATGTCTACAGCTTGACCAATAAATACTCTGACCAAATTCTCAGGAAAGTTTGAATCTTTCAGGTCTATCCTGTAAAAAAAAAAATCACGAGAAAATGATTTGCCTGGTTTTTAATGGGCAGAGGGGCTATGCGTTTACCCCACAATTTCCAACAAAGTTACTCTAAGACTTGTTTCTTTGTTTCAAACATATGCAGGGAGGTTTTTAAGTTTAGGGCATGAACTAGGCTAGCATGAACCTGGATATTGACTATATCTGGAGCCCAGTCTGACAATAATTGACCCATCTCATTGAAGACAAAGGTAAGACTCACTTCTCAATGATACACATATTCCAGCAAGAGGCTAATTTATTCAAACTGAAACATTCCACATACTTTATAGCAGAAGTGTGATAGTCATCAGGAACAGTTATCTTCACATCCAGATAATATCTAGGAGTAAATAATTTTAACAAAACACTACTGTAGAATATTTGCAGTTAAAATCCAAATACACTAAGTGGAGTATAAATACATATTTCACATTAATTCAGTACAAATTTTCTGTGATATTTGGATAGTTGGTTAATTTGCACTGTAAAAAAAACTTGTTTGACTGGTTTGCTATGTGTGCCTTAAAATTACCTCAAAGGAGAAACGCTACTTACTTGTCTTGATTTATATGTATGTTGAGCACTCCAGCTTTCTGTTTTATTTTCAGTTCATCACTATCTGATAGTAACTTTGACTTGATATACTGCAACTCATCAGAGCATGCAATCAGAGGATTCTCATCAAGAAATCTCCTCACAAATATAAGCATAGGGATAACCTGAAAGAAATTTTGCTCTACAATCAATAATATCTACAGCCAAAGACATTAATGAGTTGTTAATCATAGCCTATTCTGTCTGATAAGCTCCCCTCTCATAAATTTCCTCCCCTGTCATATTTAAAAGGCCCTTAAAGCATGCTCTAATAAACCCTGTGGTGGCTACTATTCAACAGCTCATGGCACATTTTCTTCTTGTTTTGGTCAGTTGTGTCTCTGCCATGTAAATTTATTATAGGATTTCTGACACATTTATGTATGGAATGATAACAAATGTTTTCACTTTGCATATTCAGTACTGCTCAAATGTAAGTTCACAGTCTTCACTCAATACTTGATCCTCGATAATCAAAGCAATTGAGAATCGAGGAGCAAGACGCTCAAAGAACTTTTTAAGATCTCAAACTCCAGTATCAAGAAAACAATTTAATTTTTGCATGCAAAGCAATAGCGAGGGACAAAGCACTTGACATGCAGCTCTTCTTTAAACACACAGAAAGCTTGCAGACATGCAAATATTCTCCTATCACGCATAAAAAAGGAAACAAACACATTTTTACTGAAGTTATCATCTACAGCTGTAAGCATTCGATGATAATTTGCTTCCCTTAATCCTGTTGACCACGCTTCTTACTGATTGCAGCTAATATTTGAAAAAAAAAATTGAATATTTATGGTTTGTTCTGAATTATTGGAAGGAATTCTATTTTTCCTTTAATGTAAAATATGTCTAACTAAATATCCCTTCCCAAAAAATTTAAATTAAAATTTCAACAAAAACCAGGAAAATGACTTAATACTACATATACAATGTTGGTAAGATCAAGGTTCCAAACACTCGTGTGATAATCTTCCAAAACTAAATGCTAGCTGGAGACAACACCACTTACCTGAGGCTTACCCGAGAATTTCTTAGCCTCCTGATCACAAAGTTCCATCATTTTAGACAACAGCCTTGGGGGCAAAGTTTTGCTTTTCAGTTCTACTAGAATGCCATTGTTGGGATATTGCTCAGGAAATTGAAGCAGGACGATTACATTCTTGAATTTCGTTCTCCTGATTGGACAGACAAGTAAGAGCTCGTATTAACTGGGAAATTCCCCAATTGAACCCTGAGTACCCTGGAGACCCCATCTTTTATACCCAATGAATTTTTTGTGATCGTAAAAAAGCAACATTCTCTTACGTGATTCGAACATTGACAGCAACCGGATGACAAGAAATAATCTCAGATCCCTCCACTTTTTCGCTCAGTGTCTTCTTCACAATTTCTAGTTCATTTTCAATGGCCTTCTGCGTCTCAGGATCAGAAACCAAAGCCATTTTATAAGCAAAATACGTCGAAACGCCGGCATGAAAAATGTTGGTAAACTTTCTCTACATAAATTGTGCCCAATCCTCTTCAGCGAAACCCGTGAGCCCGCGTCCTAACAAATATCACCGCTGACATTGGCTGAGGGTTTTAATAAATTTATTTCTCGTTGGTTAGATGGTTATTGTTTGCTTTTTTAAACTCAGTTAGAACTGTGGAACTTATTATGGCTGCTGTTATTGGAATAAGTTTGCGTGGTTTGTGTGGCTTACGCCAAACTGTAGGTCGTCAAGTCGCTGTTGGAACATGGCTCCACAGTCAAATGCTATCCACTTCACCCATCTCAGGTCAGGCTACAGGATCACCCAAGATTTACGAGATGCGCACGTACTACGTGAAACCTAAAGCTTTTGGTAAGGAAAGAAGTAATTCGTCATGATCTCATGTGCAATATTCTTGAAGGGTGACCCTGGGAAATATAGAGGCATTGGAATTAATGGACAAATTTTGACCTTTTGTCAAGGTAGCACTTAAGGGTTTTCCTCTGATTTCGGGAATGGTACTTTGATATCTATAATACATTTCTTTCAAATCTGACACACAAAGTGTAAAACTTCTGTGACGCCAGGTAAAATCAACCTAAAATCAATCTTCTTCTATTAGCTGTTACCATATTTGTAGAAGTGTTTTGATTCCCCAGATGAAAGAGGGAAGGTTTCTCTTAGGAATTCTAGGTGGGCGTGTGCAGCCCAATTATCCTAATTCAGACCCATTGTCGGACCAAAAATTACCTGTGTAATCTTTAACTATTCTCACACCAGCCTTCAGAAATATGCATTTGATTTGCAGTTATCACGAGGTCAAGAAGTTGTGAATTCACCCGAAAATTCAGCTTCAGTGAATGATGTGTTTGATTACAACGCTTTCTGCATCATTCATCTGGCGTAGAGAATGCAAATAGGTCTATTTACTCTTTTGGTCACAGTTGAGTGAGACACATGCTTTTACAATGGACTTGACTGTGTGTAATGGAGTACCGGCCCTCCTATGCATCAGCTTTTTAAGGCTTCATTGCTATGGATTTATCTAAAGTTTTATTGTGTTACCAAGTGGTGAAACTCCTTCCCTTTCATTTACTGTTTTTACCAAGTTTACCAAAGAGTGGCTGGTTTTTGAGATAAGACAGATATCAAAAATATCTTCTCTATAAGTGACTTTTTTTCCTTGTATTGCAGCTGAGTTCATGCAGTTAACATATGATTACATACATCTAAAGGCTGACAGTAATTCAAAATTGAATGGCTACTGGACAAGTGATATTGGTGGGCTAAATGAGGTCACACACATTTGGGAGTATGGTAATTTTAGTTAGTCACAAATCACTTGTCTCTAATTGCAAGGGTTGCAATGAACATAGTTTTGTATTTGGATTGCTTCTAAATTTCCCCTTGTTATTCTTAAATGTGCCATGCTTCTTCTCCCATTTCCATGAATGTCTGTCCAGATAATTTTTCAGTTCCTTGCAATGATGATGATGATCCCCAAGGAGCCATCCTAAAAATGACATCCAGTGTCCCTTCTTACTGAGTGTCTTAAAACTTTATCAAAATTGAAAGTTATAATGATGGAGGACAACACCATGCATTAAGAGGAAGGTTAAGGAGACTATAGAGATCAATAGGAGATATCCATCACTTAAGAAAGACAAGGGGCTTGAGCTTCTTAAGATTTACAGCACTATACTCCCATGGGAGGACCTCGCTGAGCTAGTAAGCTAGTGATTACATAATTTAATACTCTATGACCACTCACATTCCAACAGACTGATGAAGGCTGAGCAATTCAGACAAATATATCCAGGAAAATCAACCAATTGCTTTACCAAAATTGATGACAATGGCCAATTTTAAAAATACAAATACTTAAAGTGGCCAGCAAGATCTCAAGCCTCTTTGACTGATGTGGTGATATAAAGAATCTATATCTATCAGTTTGTGTTTTAGGGAAAACCAAATTAAATGCAACCCTGTTTTACTTTCTACACTCAACTTAAAATTACTTTACTGTGAGGATTCTCATGATATGGTATGATATTTAGCTAACTGAATATTGTTTCTTAGACAGCTACACAGAGAAGATGGAGGCACAAAAATCTCTTTTGCAAGATGAAACCTGGGTCAATAACTACAGAAAGAAAATACTAAAGATGTTGGTTAAGCAGGTACAACCCTCATTATCTGAAATAATTTTGAGAGACATTTTATTTTTTTCATAAAATAACTTTATTCTCTCTGCTTGTAGGGAATATCTTCATTCATCATAGGGTTGACAGATTTTTGAGTAACCTTCCTTTTTACAGAATATATACTTAAAAGGAAATCTGCCGGATGGCATATGACCAGTATATCAAATGTTTTTTTTCATTTGGTTTTTAGGATAACCTGGTGATGAATCCTTTCCCCTGGTTTGGTGTGAAGCCACCACTTTCAATAGGGGGTGAGTGATGTGTTATGTTATTTTACAACTGAAATAAGTTACTGTGGCAACCATAATCATTAATGGATCATTTTTTGTTGGAAAAAAAACAGGGTGGAAAAGTGAAAATAGTGCAAGAAATAGTAGTTGACCCTTCAACTCCCGTGAGTGACCAAAACAGAGCTTCTCCTTACATTATCAATCCAATGCCCGGCAGACAAGTGATGACAATAAAAATATCAAGAAGGGGATCAGTAGTTGATCCATTACACAATTCTCCAAACTCACTTTATAATAATTGTATGACAAACATTAAGGAGAATTACAAATGAGATCTTGGGAATGAAAGGGTGAAAAAGATAGTTAAAATTTAATAGTAAAGATGGAAAATAAATTGATCATGAATTTTTGAAGGCCCCACTGAAATTGCCTCAGTGGGTGGGCTCCTTGCCAAAATTATAGATATACTATTATTACTGTTATTATTACCATTATTACTGTTATTATTACTATTATTATCCTTATCAGTGTAGTTATTTTATATGTAGTTTCCTTCTTATTTTTACATTTTTAATTATCTGTTGGTAGGTGCAGTTATACTATTAAAATAATATTGTTAATTTAAATGTCAACCATAGTGGTTCTGTACCAAGGATGCTACACATGGCAATGTGTAATCAATAGACCTGTGTGCTTGTTGAAGACCTTTAGTGAAGCTGTTGAAATGTCATGATCATTAACTAAATGTGACTCTATAGAATATTGTGATTGCTCAACCTAATGGAGTAACTTTCATCTCTGTTTATTTAATAATTGAGCTGAGATGAACATTGAAAAACTTGGTAATGTTACCTTCACAGTTTCTGTTTCATGAAATAAATGAAGTACAATTTTACATTAATTTTAGGTGTTTATGAACTACGCATGTATGATTTAATCCTTGGGAAAAAAGAGCAGTGGGAACACAGGTTCATTCAGGGATTTTTTGAGAGATGCAAGCTCTCTGAACCTGTTGGTGTCTGGTTTACAGAATTTGGTCCTATAAACAGAGGTACTGTCAGAATTCATCATTCCTAATCACAATAACATAAAGCTTGAAGCCATTTTAAACTAGTTTGCCACAGCAATCTTGGAGCTGATTTGGTTTTTTTTTTAGTCTCAACCTGTTTTGCTTTTTGTTTTGACTGTTCAGTTGTCATGTTGTGGCCCTACCAAAGCCTTGATGATCGTACTAAGATACGTAAGGAAGCACAAGGACTTGAGGAATGGGTTGAAGCAAGTAAGGCCAACATGTTGTCAAATAATTTTGTTTCTGTAAGTTAATGGTGGGTGTTTAGCCAAACCTTCATATGATTTTTAAGTCAAAGAAAGTTGCTACAACTATCCAATTCCTCAACGCCTAAGGCAAAGAAAAACTCCAAAAAAAGCGTCTTGAAGTGGAAACCACTTTGTGAGGAATCTAGACATTTTCCCATGGCAAAGAGTCTTGAGAGTTTTAAAATCAATTTCCTAAATTCCTTGACATGGACATCTGAATGAAGAAACTGAATGAAGAAATTGATAAGGAAACTATTGACATAGTTTGTAAGTATTTGAAGCAATGTTAACTAATTAAAAGGAAGGCATGAAGGTGTGAATAAATAAAAATTTCTTACTTTTCTTTTTTCTTAGTACGAGACTGCTCTTCCTTTTTAGCGAAAGGAGATAACAAAGTTCTTGTTCCAACTGAGTTCTCTCCATGGAAGTAACAGACAGGTGGACATTTAATTGTATTTGGAATTTAGTACTAAAGAGCTGAGCATGATTTTTCTCTTTTTAGTTCGTGACTGCCTTCCCTTTGAAAAAAAAGCGTTTTCTAAGGTTCTTATTCCAACACAATTTTCTCCGTGGAAATAGATCAGAGGTATACCTGTCTTTATTGCTTTTTAGAAAACAGAGGTAATTAAGATTCAAAAGAGAGGCTTCACCGAAGCATTCACCATTTACGTAATGGTAGAGTTGATTTAATGGACTTCCACGCAAACTTCGAAATACTTTTTTTATAAGTATCTGTCACAATCTGATACATGTCAGTTAGAAAGCGAAAGGAAAAAGAAAGAGCAGATGTACACTTATTAATGAATTGTATTGATATTGTAAGGAGAAATTATGTTTTCGTCACTCATGGAAATAAAAGGTTCCACATTGGTTATCTCTCTTACTTTATATTTCTTGGAATACATGGGCTTAAATAGGTTTCTTTTTTTTCGTGGAGAAGTGTTAATCTTCATAATTTGCTATAGTAAATCTTGTAGGATGTGTTAAACTCATCAATCTTTGTCTTTCTGTCTAGGTCTAGCCTGAAGCTAAAAGCTGACGAAGGTAGAAAGTTGCCTGAATGAATGGTTCAGTAAAAAAATTGTATTGCATGGTAACTCTTGGATGGCGTACAAACTCCCAAGAAAATAAAAGTCTTGACCGACTAGGATATTTTTGAAAATAGAGTTGTTTGAAGAGTATGATTCGCTGGTGGAACTAAAGATGCTGGTAAACTAGGAATGAGTTGCTAAACAACAGGGAAATGCAAACCCACGCAATTTTACTGAAAAGACTTTTAATAATGTCATGTGTACGTTATATCAAGTAATATTAATCACTAGTGAGTTTCAGTAATTATAAATATCTAAGTCAAAGAGATGTTCTCTAGCTAAGTCTGACACAGCAACATTTAGTGAGCTTTTATGAATAGTTTAGTATGTAAGGCAGCCAGAAAGTAAAAATAATGTGGACTGGCCGTTGTTGTCCATATTTTCCTTGGCGAATGGTGAGAAGAATTAAGAGCAAATTTCTGCAATTACTCTCTTCATTTTGTAGAAGTATATATAAAATAACTTAATTGCTCATACTTTTGTTTCACAGTCATATCCAGCATGTCTGGATTTATACTTTTGCGTATCACATTTTCTGAACCTAGCAAATAACAAAAACTAGAAGAGCTGCATTAGGAACATATTTGTTGATGAAAATGGTCAAAGCACAACACCAACTGAAATACTAACGGAAATCGAAAACTCCTATTCTAAACTTTGCGAGGAAAACTCACTTACTTTTGGTGATTCTATGAACTTTCTTGATGGAGTAAACAATACCAAACATAGTTTTTAGATAAAATAAACTCAATCGAGTTGAATTGGTCAAGGAAAACAAAACACCAGGAAATGATGGCCCAACCTCTGAATTTTACTTACCCCGGCTTATGGCATCTTTTGGAAAATCATCTCATAGAACCTTTACACTGTCCCATGTTCATGATCAACTCTGTTCTTCTCAGAAACGAGCATTTGTGATTATTGGTGCCCTTTCTCACCAACAAATGTCGATGTGAGAATAGTTTTAAAAGCCTTGCTAAGAGGCTCGAACCGTTTCTCTCCGAAATTATTTATTACAATCAAATTGCATTTGTGAAATGAAGATCTGTGTTAATTTGATGCAGCGTGGACCACCTGGGATAGTTTGGAAGTGAAAAATATCTCTGGAATCTTGGTTTCCATCGATTTTGAAAAAGCATATGATTCTGTTGCCCATGATTTTCTATTCAAAGTTTAAGAAAAATTTAACTTTGGATCGTATTTTATGCAGTGGATAAGAACCTTTTAAACAGATAAATCAAGTTGTACCATGAATAACGGTTTCAGCACAATTTCTCTCTTGTGATCCTCTCTCACCTTTGTTTCTTTATCTTGGGCCTGAAAATTCCCGCGCGTTAAATTAGACAAGATAAAAGTATGGAAGGAATAAGAATTTAACTGCATTCGCTGATGATATGACCAGTTTTTTAAATATATGCTTGCTCTTGTGTGCGGCTGTTTACGTGTCTAGAGGCATTTTTAAGATTTTCTGGCAAACAAATTTTAAAAAAAAATCCTTGAAACAGCGGTGAAAGGATACCTCTAGCATATGAAGAATTCACTTCCGCAGTGAGGCCTGTTGCAAATTGACCAATCACCGTTGGGAATTTTTTGTGCGTGTGTGCGTTAATTGTTGTAGTCACTCATCGTAAACGGGTTGAGGAGAGAAAGTAGACGCCAATCGATTCTTCGCCACAGCTGCTATTTTGTAGAACTCCATTCCAGCATATAATCTGTAAGGACTTTCAGCCGTCTTGCGCAGGAAGATAATGGCCAACCCTGGGAATAGGTAAGTAGTGCTTGTCAACATTTTTAATGAATTATTACGTCACAGCAAGTTCTCATTTGCGGTTAGCGTGATTTCTTGAACTTAGGAGAGATTGTTGCTTGTGTGAAACATCTCAGATTACGTGGGTTTCCCATCCGGAGTTGATTCGACTTAGCTCTGTTCTGTTATCAAACAGTAAACTCGAGGTGATGAATTGCGGGAAACTTTATGCAAATGCATTTTCACCGAGATTGACGTTGAAATGAGTTACAGCATAAGAAAGAAAACTTTGCTGAGGTCTTATTTTCTTTCAAAATTAATTCACTTAAAGAAATCCTGACCTTAGTTCTGAGCGCGTCTTTTCTTTTGGTCCTGATTTCGCGAAGGCAGTTTTAAAGCATGTTTGAGCAAGATTTCCGTTTTGCCCGTTACTCGTTTATGCGCATTTTTCTTTGTTAAGAAACGAGAAACAATAACGACGCAGTTGATTTCTTCTCGGAATGCCGCGGCTCTGTCTGCGGTCTTTGATCCGTTTCCTTTATTCACAGGCACGTTACTTCCAAAATGCATCGCTTGTTATCTGACCGCTTTCTTTGTAGAAAAGAACCCAATTTAGCGAGTTTTCCATTTTTAAAGCTTTGGCTTATGTCGTTAGGTGAGGTATTTTTTATTGAGAATTTGACTTATTTTTGGCCATGACTCTTTTGTCTGTTTCTCGGTCTAAAAGCGTCGTGAACCATGAAGCTTATATCACTAATGCACTTGAAGTAAACAACAAATCATTCTCGAATGTACTTAAACATTTTAATGTCACTTTGTGATTTACAGTCGAAGCTGCATTAAGCGGCGCTGTATTATGCGGTCATCCCGTATTAAGCGGTCAGTTGTCCCGAATTTGTTTTCCCATAAACAGTAACTTTTAATCCCAAAATCAAAGTAGTGAGATCAAAGTTGTAAAATCAACGAGCGAGATTCTGTGCATTAAGTGGTCAATTATGGCATAAAGTGGCGTTGTTTATCGATCTTTATAATACACCTAATCCGTGGAACCTATATCAAGCGGTCACCCCGTCACTCCCAGTGTTGTTGTTCTGTAAAGCCTGGTTTTCACTTGCGACGCGAGCACAAGCGCAAGCGCAAGTGAAGCATAACTACTCTTATTTCACCGTGAAGACGGCCTCAGTGCACACATTAAGACAATCGCTTGCACAAGCGCAAGAATCAGAATTTTTCCTTTTTCTTGAACTAGTGCTTGTCCTTGTCGACGTTCGTTTTCACTTTGTAAATTTAACTTATGCGTACGTTTGTGCTCACGCTTGAGCTTGCTTCGCTAATGAAAACCAAGCTTTACGCCATTGGTAACTGGAATACCTGATTACTGATTCCATGGGGTAAATTTTGCTTTAGATCTAACGAATTAGAGGAAGCAGAGCTGTCAGCAACTCTTAAAGAAGTACTGGTAACAATTGACGAGGGGGAAATTCCAGCTGGTTTTGGTATGTATGATCACAGAGAGTCCTTTAGGGATTCATAATATCGTGCCTTGATTCATTATTGATCTACCTGTTGAAGAATTTTGTGGATACAGTTTGGTTTGTCTTGAATGCTACAGATATTAACTAAACGATTGGGTTGGGCTGGTGAGGAGGATAATCACCACAAAAAAGAAAAAGGCTCCAGAAGTTTACTCGGTATGCAATTGACACCCTTGTATAGCTTAAGTTAGCGCCATTTTCAGCGGATCTGCACTGGACTTGGTTTTTGTGGTCAATGCACGCATTTTGGTTTCTTATTGTCAATGTGTTGGACTAAGGACTAGAAAAGCCTCGCACGCCGTCTTTTTGTGATTGAAAAAAAAATTGAATTATATCCTATTATGTCTTCACGATACTCGTTTTCTATGCCTTGCGTTTCCAACTGGTTGAATTGAATTCTTTGTTTGAGTCAAAGCTCACCGGGAAAGTAATTTGCCATCTCTTCGTCGAGGAGTACGGTGACCGATGATTTCATTCCCATTTTCATTTCCGTAGAGGAAAAGCTCCTTTCTGAAAGCAACAACTGCACAGAATTTTGTGATGAACTCAATTAACTCGGTGGCTGTTAGTGGCTGTTGCCAATGATCTATAAGAGCGCAGATGCATGGTTTATCTCAAATAAGCCGTTTTGCCTCCACCTCAGCAAACATAGTGCACAGTGTGGCAACTGTTGCGATTCTTTTTCGGACTAAGCTTATTTGTAGCAATGTTGACATCGTCTGTGTTTGTTCTCTGATAGATGATAAGAAAAACTAATTAAAAATGCGTGTACGACTAAGCGTATTCCTAGTTCTAGATAAACAATGGCGTCAAAATTTGGTTAAAAAAATAAAAATAATAAACATCAGCGACATACTCAAGCACCTTTACTTTATGTGTTGCCTTTTTTTCGTTCTACTACATTTTGACGTCACTTTTGATCTACCTTTGTCTGAAAAAACACATAGCAAAATTTGATATAAATTTCCTTTTTATAATCTATCTGTGGAACCAGAGAAAGAGCATGGGGGTATTGATGCTTCTAATCAACAATCTCAACGTGAAAGTTAGTGAAAGAGGGAATCAAGAAAGACATAAACACAAGACGCAAATAAACAGACTCTTAAAACAGTGTAATTGTGTCACAAAGTCAACATGCCTTCCTTTCGTTTATTCAAAGTCTTTTCCGCGTCCCGAAGACTGTTCATCATATGAAAAACGAGTGTCAAACTTCTTTTTTGATGGTTGTATAATTGAAAAATGTCCATACTTGTGAATCGTTCTTACGTGTGTCTGATTGTTTTACAGAGATAGAGAAGGATTTGGATGATGTTCTACGTGAGGGTGATTTCGATGCGATTGATCAAACAGTGACTCCAAAAACCCTGGCAAGGTGTAAAACCAATACTTTAATCAAATCTTTCCAGGTTGGTCTTGTAACTTTATGTTTACCAATTTTACCGGTATACTTTACTCAAGGCTGTTTCGCCAGAAGAAGTGAAAAAAATGTGATCCTTATTCACTGTGGTTTTGTTTCAGTACTCGACTTAGCTCGTCATACGCATACCACTCTCTCGAATGATTAGCATTAAAACTATAACCAGTCGTAACTTGTTCACTGTCCGAAATTGTATTTGTATCTTTATCACCCTTAAAGTATCACTGGCTTGCAGTTATATCTTCTTTTGTTCTTACTGGTCATCGAGGTTTCAGTGTGCTTTTTTACAACAGACAATTGAGAAAACTCTCCTACCATGTTCATGAATTGGAGGCTAACAAGAAATCAGAAACAATATCATTGATTTTTTAAAGAAACTTTTGATAAACAACATAAATGTACTTCCATTTAAACGTAGGTCAATAAAGCATTGCGAGATTTAGCAAATGGTGCAAACCCGGAGGGAGACGATATAGAACAGCTAGAAAAATCTATAGGCGAGTTTACATCAGCCTTGATAGATCCTCTTAAAGCCGACGCCGATACCAGAAATACATTTAAAAGTTGTTTAGATGATGTGGTGGAGAAGGCAATTGAAACGAAGCAGAAGAAGGTACTACACAAGTGATAAAAAAGGTTTCTAATGAATACTTTCTGATATCCTTCTCCCCTAAAGTTGACTCTAGTGGGAATGCTGTCGCCCATCTAATCACATAGGTGCCCCTACCTTTACGTGCAGTGTAAGTATGGAAAGAAGAAAAACAATTAACATTATTATATACTAGACTTTCAGTCAACAAAACGAACACGAGGATCGATTCTATATTCGTTTCTTCAACCGCAATGCACACATATAATTTTCATATGTTTACAGCCATTTTTCACCCCTTCGAAGGTCTATTTGGATCCAACATAATGACCAGCTCCCAGTTGGCTTGTTAGCTCGGTTGGTAGAGCACTGCACCGGTATCGCAGAGGTCATGAGTTCAAATCCCGTACGGGCCTGAATTTTTTTTTAAAGTCTTATTTCAACTACTAGTTCAGTGATGTTCATAACTGCGAGGATAGATTCTATATTCGAGCACTGTGATTGGTTGATTCTTGATCACGTGCCCTTTATCAAATTCAAATGTATTCCGACCAGGATACAATTGCGCAGTTGTTGCCCGCGCTCCGAGTACAACAGCATGTTTTTGCCATATGACTGTTTGAGGGAAAGTCTAAATATATAATAAAACACTTAATATACGGTCACTCGGGAAACTAGTTAGTGTTGTTTTCTTCGTCTTAGGAAACATCAGGACTAGAGGGCAAACAAAACTAACTGTTTCCCTCGGGACCATACATTAAGAACATAATGTCCCCACCAAAAACCACCGGTGAAAGCTTCCTCGCCGGTGTGATATTACAAAGGGGAAAAGATATTTTTTAAGATTTATGCACACAGTATTACGATATACTTCGTACCAATCAAATGTACAGGACGTCATTTTTATGTTTCTCTACTTTATGTACAAAGAAGCAATTAATCAATTTTCAGTGAACGAAATTTACATTCTAGTGAATCTACTGAATAACGTGACGCCAAACTGAATGATTTAAAGACACTGAACACACCCACAGCTCGACGCCTTAGCTGATCTGGCCAGAAATTATTTTCTAACTTAAATTTTATTAGTTATTGCTAAGAAATCTTTCACACCCTTGCTTTAGCAGTTCTATTCTGTTGTAGATTACAGATGAGGTCAAAATGTGGTAAGAACAAAATGGTAGCACATGACGCGCGGCCGGGTGTGTAACTGTATGTTGCAAGAATTGTTTTGCATTTAATGAAGCCAAACTTTGTTCATGGTGACGTCCCCTATGAGGTTCTCCTCTGATAAGTACTGAGCATGAACCAATTCAAATTCTGCTTATTGTGTAAAACAATGTATTGACGAATTTTTTTTGCAGTTCATCTGTCACCCAGTGGTGTACAACTTGCTCAACTCCAGATGGTACCGCTCCTTTTTCCACGTAAGAAAAGAATCATGGTGGACACCTAAACGCTGGGGATACTTTTTTCTCAACCTCTGGACAGTGTTTGACATCGTCTTTTTTCCCTTTCTCTTTGCCATTTTCTTCGTCGTGCATTTGGTAAAACGGGCCTTGAGGAGGAAAAGAGGTTTTTAATATCGTTTATTAGCATTCGTTTAGGTAGTTGACATGGTACAGTAGATGGTAATGCGTTTTTAGCAAGCTCTCAGGTATTCGAAAGGTTTGGGCTTAGAGGGGGAGAGGGGTGGGGCGCGGAGGGTGATGGCTTTTCTGTATTTTATTCCTAATTCCATAAAACTGAGTTACCATGCAAGCTGAGTTCTCTCAATTGAAAAAATACAGGAGTCCTTGGTAAAGCTATTCGCGAAGCGCGGGTCACACATTCTTCCCTGGCACGTGAAACGCGCTCTGTGCTTGCCTCGTGCTTACAAAAAACTAAGCCTGTTCTGCAGGTTATATCGTTCGAGGAGCGTCTACAGGCCTGGTAGTTGTTCCCACCTGATCATAACAGTCTTAAGAATGGCTGAGATCGTTATAACTAAGTCATGAGATTAGATACAAGCAGCCACTAGGGAGTTGTTGTGGTGCTTTGTATCAGTTGTTGTATGTTTCCTTTATTGATCAGGGGTTTAATCGCTCACTTTCTAATGCTTTCCTTGATGATTTTTTAGAAAATGAAATATGTTTTGTTTTGACGCTGGGCAAAGATACCTCAGAAAAAGAATTTATTCTAATGAAAAGGACGATAAACTACATTGTTGGTGAATATGGCTGCCACTCTGCCAAATACTGTGTTGTTTTACATGAAGACTATAAAATTATCGGTAAAGAGGGGTGGTCTACTGAGGCTGCACTTCCAGGATGGATTGACCCGTTACAGCTGCCAAACTCTACCACTTCACTCGCTAACGATCTTATGGTCACCCGAGATGCATTCACAAACCAAACACGTAGGGAAGAGGCCAAAAAGGTGAGGAATACTTGAGCACAACCGTCTTCTTGAGCGCTGTCGAGTTTTGTCTCTTAACTTGCTCCCATGGGCTCATTTTGCAGTCATGGGCTGGTTATCAGGCCTTGGTTAGTTATACTTACAATTCATATTCAATGTTGATTGATTTTGACGACCGCAAGCTACAGTTGATTTTTCTTTAACGCATAAACACAAATCATGTTTTAGTTAGTGTCAATCGATTTAATTTCAACTCTCTGCTATCCATTTTACTATTTGCATTAACTGATGCCTTCTCAGTCAAAGAGCATGCTTACATTTTGCATACAAATTAATTATTTAGTTCTTTATCGTATCTGGCATTGTATGTTATGCAATAGCTAAGATACTTACAAGCGCATCAGTAATATTTAATGCAAATCCAATTATTGTTGTTAAAAGTGTTTTTTTTTCCATTGAAAAAATTCAAGCTGCTCCTTTAATTTATAAGAAGGCCAGTGTATTTTCAAAACTGATAAGTTTGGGCTCATATTTGATAAAACTTGTAACTTTGGTTTTGAGAATCAAAGGAATAAATATCACCTTTTTTTAAAATTTTATTTCTACATTAGGTGGTCGTGCTCTTTCTTAATGACTCGTTACGCAAGGTTGAGGCTAACACCGAGAGACTACCGTCGTTAGTAAAGGAGATAGAAGATATGCAAGTTAACATCGTTCCCGTCGGTATCGGGGAGTACGCCAAATTATCAGAATTAAATAAGATGGCAACTAAAGATGGCACAGCACGTCACTTTGGAGAATACGAGTCACCCGAGACGTTGGGAACAGCTGTCATACAAGGTAATCTATGGAGGTTTAAAGTTATGATATTAAAAAACCCTACGTAGCATGATTATACTCTTATTTGGTTTGGGAAAAAGAAAGTATTGCATGCAGTTGTTACAATTCGAATTGAGGAAGGTTTTAAACGGTGGTATATTTTTAGAAGCTTTAACTTTTCTCCCCACTGCTCGGAAGTATGACTGGCTTTATAATTGAGATGTTTTACTTTCTTACAGCTATCGAGGGAAAGAACATCTACGGTGAGGACGGGCTATTTTTGGTAGCTAGATTTCCAAAGACCATTGAACTTTTTTTTTCTAATACTTTTCGCCAGATCGTTGGCGCTTTCAGAGTTTTCCTTTGATAGCCTCCATTGTAAGCTAGTGTCTCAATCACTGTTGTCCTGGTATAACTATGATTACTATGATGTCTTCCAGAGAAATACAAGGATTACTTTACGACTCCTTATTTCATCTTTTTCCGCGACACGCTGAGCTATCTCACCTTTCTTGGTCTTCACTTCGCCATTTGTCTGTCCCCTTCCTCTATTGCCTTCACTCGACTAGAATGGGCCATTTTAGTTTTCTTCCTGGGACGCGTTTTGATGGAGGTGGATCAGTTTATTAAAAAGGCTGGTATGAAAGCACCAAAGGGTCAACAGGAGACAAATGAGGCAGGAGAAGACAATATCTTGCTAAAGATGCTTAGAAATTATTTCAGGTATTTCAGGTTTTTATTGTCTGTTTCTAGTTTTGGAATGTGATAATACTAGATTCTCATTCGTGTTGGGGTATGATTAGGAGAGAAGGATGGGAAAAAGAGATAACAACTTGACTAAGGTAACAAAATGAGCCATTGTTCTCTGCTTTGGTGCCCCGATCATTTTCAGAGCTGCATCAACCAATCATGAGGCGACATTGTTCACTGTCAGGGTTCATTAACTGGCTCATGCTCATTGTAACAACAGATAGTGGTAAATGTTAGAACTGATTATCTTGCTTGCGAATTATGCAAGGTCTTTTCACTGATTACGTTAAATAATGCTCTTGTAATACAGTTGGTATCCATTACTTTTATAGAAGCGCTTGGAATGTGCTTGACTTCATCATTCTTGTTTTCTACCTGATCACCTTCATCTTACGCATAATTACATGGAAAAACTCCATAGACGTGTCAGGCAACAGACTCTTGGCTGTGTCAGAGTATTTCTATGGATTTATCGCCATGTTTCTCACACCAAGAGCCTTTGGTCAAGTCATTGAACGCTTGCGGGGAATGGGTGCAATACAAATCGCTTTGTTCTTTGTTATCTGGGATGTAATGGCGATATTTTCGCAGTTTTTGGCCATGATAATTGCATTTTCTCTGGCTATGACCAAGGTATATCTTTCTGAGAAGGCGTATACCTCAGGAAAAGATTCCGTCGAGGATTTGTGAGTACATGTTGCGATCTTTCTCGAACTCATGAACAACAGATTCTAAGTTGCTGGGCATATTCATTTGTTACTTTTTTTATAGTGGGCTGGGAGAGCTTTTCTTTTATGTTCTGGAGGGGAACCTCGTGTCTGTCTGAACCACCAATGTAGGAAACAGTGGGCTAAAACCTAAGCAAGTGAGATTTAGTTTTGTGGATGGGAAGCCTAACAGAAGAGTAAAACTACTTAGATCAGAATGTCAAACTCTGCACGAAAGGCCGATTTTTTTACGGTCTTAATGAATACTCAGGGAGGAGATCTCACAAAGAGGACCCAATGAATAAGGCACTACGTAGCACCACTACTACACAAAAGGTTTGACATCAAATTACGATAGCCTGATACCCAATGATCATCGCTGGGTCAGTCAAAGTCACAAATTATGGGGTCAGTGATTTGCTACACACTGACTTTAAAGGAGCGAGGGTGCTTCTGGAAGCTAAACGGTAAACCATGGCAACGGTTTCTTTAACATTCATTTTCTCCTATCATTTTAAGGGTATGCAGCGATTCCGGGATAATCTGGTAAGAGTGAAATAGTTGTTGTTATTTTTTACTCTAATTTTTAACTTTGTACTCTGATGTCTGAGATATACCATATTACACGAAATCTTTGCCAAACTTTAATTTCCCGCTTTCAGTATGCCGCGATTATTTTAAAACTCATCATTTCAAGCGTGAAACTTTTAGGCGAAAAAAGTCAGCGACCCAGTACGTCAGCTAGGTTTCACTTGCGTTAAACAATGATTAATAGCTGGTTATCTATCTACCCGAGAGATCGGATCGATAGATTTGAATCTATGATCCATGTAGGAGCAGTGACACAATGGCTTCCAGGATACAGACGTTTAAAAACATTTATGGCGGTCATAACGATTTAAATTTTAAAAATTGAATGGTTTTCGACCTAACTCGTTGCTTATGTTCTTCAGTTGGTGGAACATGGCGAAACACCATGGTTGGTCTTTACTGGGTTTAGTTGACCTGGATAGCTTGAACTCCGTCGACAATCCATCCGTTTCTCTTATTCATGTGCTGTACAGCTTCTTCTTAATCATGGCAGTTGTTTTTCTCGTGCACATGATGGTTGCGTTGCTCTCCAACACCTATCAGCAGGTTCAGGTACTAAACAGTCTCTTTACCTTCGCTGATATAAATTATATTAATTCTGTTCATAATTCCATATGAGAAGTTCTCGACAGTAAACTTAGGAGGACTCTTTTGGCGTAAGATATAAAATATATTTTTCGCAAAGTTCATAAGATTCTATGATCATTTATAAATTTATTTTTGGCCGACTGACACTGTAGACGAAAATGATGGTGGATATTGTCCCTTAGGTATGATATGTCAAAAATATTCTTACGCTATAGGAGTGTCGCCTGTTGTTTTTATTAACTGGTATTTACTTAGAGGCTGTTACGTCCCTCTCTATTCCTCTGTTATTAGGATAATTCACTGCAGGAGTGGTCTTTCATGAGAGCCATTACTGCAAGGACTTACATCACCTATCATCCGATACCAGTGCCTTTCAACCTTTTGTCTGTCCCCTTGATAGTGCTCTGGAACCTCTGTCGTAAGTGTTCGTGTAGAACATGGTGCGACACTCCTGCTTCGCTCGAGGGCGGACGGGTAAGCTGGTAACGCCTTGCCAATTAATTTTGTGAGTTTTAACAAGCTGCTGTTGTTTAAAGGTATCATTCACGTCTGCTCAGTGATTTTACTTCACTTTCGATGTGGCCTTCTTTGATTCGACAGAGAGTGGCTCTGGATAAAGTGGTGAAAAAACTAGAAAGCGTGTACTTCGAGAAATACGGTTATGAATTTCCCCTCACAGGTGGGTGATATGCTAGGTTGGTAGATAGCCCCAGAAATCTATGACATGGTGATACAAAAGAATATTGCGCAAAGAGATGCTCTACTACTAAACCTTGCTTTGTTATTATCAATTTCTTTAGAAATTTAACATTTCTGAAGAACGTTAAACCATTAGAGGTTGGAATAAAACATGAAATAAAAAATCACAAATAATTCTAATAATGATGGTCTCTTCATAACGAAGCGTATTGGGAATATTTTGCTAACACGATTCAGAAAAGGCCAATTTAATACTTCGTTCCTCGCTTTGTTTTAGAGGGGAAAAAGATGGACCACCTGGTGCATAAAAAATGAGGAAGGTCGAAGATTGGCCAATCAGATAGTTCGGCAAGTATTCCGGCCGCGTGGAAACAAGGAGGAGAAACTTGCGTTTGGCCAAAGAGTGAGTGTTTTTCATGCCCACATTCGCATGTTAATTAAACAAGAAGTTTCCCTACCATATACTATAGATCCTGCTACATCAGGATACACCTTTTTTTACCTTTTTAATTTTCATTTTTTACCCTTTCTCTCGAACAAAAATTTAAATGTGCGATTAAGAAAATCACTCAAGAAATGTTGCGCTGTAGTTTCCTTCTACCCTTGAAGAAAAATGAACTGTTTTGTTGTGTCTTAAAAAATGTGATCTCAAATGCTGCTCCGGAAATTTAAGTACAAAAAAAGTCAACAAAATTTGCTTTCAACGAAAATGAACGGGAGGGCTATAAATTGAATAAAACCCCTTATAGCTTGCTGGTATGTCGGCTGATAACGTCCCCGGTTCAGAAATTGTCTTTAAGTTTTCAAATTTCTCCTTGAAGCTTTGGTTCTTGGCCAAATATTCATTTTTGGACGATGTCTCAGCCGCTAACATTTTCAAGTTACATAGCAGCCACCTGAAGGGGTCTTTCATGTTACTAAAGTTTTGTTCGATTGTCATTTAAAGGCGTGGTATGATTCGCCGGGAATTACTGTCGATGGCTGTCTCCTAACTTACAAGGGACCTGATTCCTGCAAAACATGCAAAGAAGGAAAACCTAGGAACATTCACAGTGCCAAATTCAAGTCTCCCTTTACACCAGAGACACCACGATTTGAGGTGTGCTTTTGATTCATGGAGAATTATTTGCGAACAACAAATTTAATTCAAATACTTCCTGCTTCATGATAGACTCTCTGAAGATGCAACATAAGCACATATCCTTTTGACCCTCTTCCTTTTAAGAATCTCTCTTTTGTAGTAGCTGGTATTCTTTTCTATTTTGGAGAACTACTGACACTCGTTTTTTTAAGAATGAACCTAATAGTGCCTCCATATTAGAAAGACAAGACCGGTTCCTAAAAACATCTTTATGTTCCTCTTGTGGTATCCTACTCTCACCTTCTTTCATGATAACTTGTCAACATCGATCTCGTTTGGGCACTTAACCCTGTAACACCTAAGAGTGATTAGCATGTAATTTCTCCACAAATTATCATCCCTGTGTTGAACATTAGGGTCACAAGAATAAAGTAAATCATCGCCAACCGAAAAAGCTCTTCATTGTTTAACTATAATTCTTCCTTTTTAGCACAAATGTAGGAACCTCAGGCGAAGCTATGGCGTGCGGGCGTGATATCAGTGATAACGCTCGAGAGAGCGCACAGAGTCGAACGCAATTACTTCAATTAGCAGTCCTTTGACTCATATCTTTAATTTATCGCTCAGTTCTGGAGTTGTCCCAGCAGAGCTCATTCAAATATCAAATGTGGTGTCCCTCAGGGCTCCATTCTTGGTCCTCTGCTCTTGCTATTTACATCAATGATATGTGTGATGTCTCAGAGGTTTTGGGCTTCATTCTTTTTGCTGATGATACAAAAATCTTTTTCTCTCATAAAAATTTGAATTTTATCGAGAAAACCTTGAATGAAGGATTGCTTAACCTAACAGACTGGTGCCGAGTCAATAAGCTTTCAATAAATATAATTAAATCAAATTTCATGGTTTTAAAACCAAGACAGAAAAGGGAAAATCTTAACATTAAACTAGAGTTTAAACAATGTACTATACTAGGTGTTATTGTTGACGAAAATTTGTCATGGAAACTGCACATTGCTAATATCGTTAGCAAAGTTTCAAAATCCATCGATATAGTCTATAAAGCTAGTCTCTGCCTACCTACTTCAACTTTTTTTACCCTGTGCTATAGTCTTGTTTATCCCTACTTACTTTATTGCATTATGGTATGGGACTTCACTTATCCATCCACCTTGAAACATATTGCTCTACTCCAGATAAAGGTGGTACGATTTATATCAAGAAGTACTTTTAACGCTCATACTGAACCTATATTTAGGCAGTTGAAAATACAATATGTATCGATTTTAAATAGGAAAGATCATGTTTTTGTTCAAGATAGGCCGTCTTCCCGATGCTCTTGGAAGATTACTTCATTTTCGAGTAGCAGTCATTCCTATTACGCCAGACAATGCATTTCTTTTACATACCCCTTTGCAGAACAAATATCAACAGTTTGCGTTATGTTTCCAAGGACGTAAATTTTTCAATTCTTCGAATACAGAAATCCAAAATGTTGGCACACTTTCCCTGTTTAAGTTCAAATTAAGAACACTACTCCTAAGTTGACTTCCTTTTTCTTCTTCTTTCTCTCCTTCTTTTTATTTATTTATTTATTTTATTATTATTTTTTTTTCTGACTTTTCTCTCGCTGCTTAAGTATATATTTGTTTGAGTGCCTGCTATTATTGTTGTTGTTTTGTGTGTGTGTGTGTGTGTGTGTGTGTGTCTTTTCCTTTTTAACCTAAAACATTTTTGTACCTAAATCACGCCATAAAATTAATACCTCACTTTTGTAAAATACGAGGAGCCTGTAGCTCGCATAAGCCTCCTGGTTTCCCTACGGGTTTCCTCGCCACATGCAAAATCTTCTGCTATATCATATTAATGTAAATGAAATTCCTTCTTTATTCCTACTGATGTACCATAATTACAAAATGGCAAAAAAAAAAATGTATGGAGTACCGCTAGAGAAAATTCATGATGGTGTTAGGGTGTGAAAGGTTATGTTTATCTCCTTGCTCCACTTCGTTGAGGTGCATGTCAGGGTCAAGTTATAAGGCCTTAGATGACCACCTTTGAATAACGTAATGGTTTTTATTAATTTTATTATTGCTATTATTATTTATATTCTTGCCATTATTTTATACTTATCATCATTATTGCAGTTGTTATTATAGCTGCTTTTTTTGTTCATATGATCCTTATTTCGGGTGTTGATTGTTTATATTATCACTAACATCGTCTTTATCATCGTTATTATCTTGTTTTGATCTAAGAAACTAGTATTCCCTCGCGCTCATTTGCGAAAAACCCATTCTCAGCCTGAAACAAAAATTAAAAGCATGGGACTTGGGCTTGGGGCAACTGTAACAACAGAGTCTAAAAAGCAAAAGTCCGTCATTGTTTTGCAGGTACTTATTCAGGAGACTGGGGAAAGGCGTATTGCGGCTCTTGGTGCTGTGCATGAGTCGTACGACTGTCACAAAATGCCTGGCTGGTATAGTGGAACAGTCGGTTACCACATAGACGATGGTAAAATATTTGAAACTGGCTTCCATGAGCTGGGAAAAAAAGTCGAAGGTATGGGTTACTTTGACGATAGGTGAACGATATCTGCCGCAAGGATCTGTTGGCGCTTGGAAACGTAGTCAATGCCTTGCCGTCCTTGCCCCATGTTTGGTTTATTTTGCTATCTTTTTGCTATGTACTTAATGTTTTCTGTTGATAACTTAGGAGCTATGGCTTACCGCGGCGATCTCATCGCATGTGAAGTTGATTTTAGTGGAGTCCCCGAGGAAGTCTCTGTGTTGTTCTCCTTGAACGGTAGAGAGGTAGCGTGTTGTTCATTGGAGTATACAGAGGGAAATAAACTATTTCCCTTCGTTTCATTGGGATTTGAAGGCATTACAGTGCTCACCAAGGTATGTTTGAAAGAGGGAGGGGGGAGCGGGGAGAGGGAGGGGGGAGGGGGAGGGTAATGGGCTAGAAATTGAATCTGTAAATGGTTTGGTTTCATCGGCGATCTACTAACATATCACGCCTCGGCACACTCCTCCTGTTACAGTCAAGGGATTGGTCATGAGACCAAATTAGAAGTATGTGGCGAGGAAGAACTTTGTCGTATCCAGTGTTGAAAAGACCACTAAAATTTTGTTCAAGTTTGAGTAATTTAAATGTTTGCGAACATTTACAAACTATACAACCTTTTTACCAAAAGGCTGTGCCCTGATTGCTCTTAAGGTAAGAACAAGCAAAAAGCGCGTCGATCTCTGCAGCACATCTGTAGTCCACAATTTTGAAAATTAGAGTCTATAGTTGACAGCTTTTGATCATCGCTGTCCTAAAATTTCGTCTTTTTCATTTTTAAATTGGAGACGTTTGACTTTTGCACGTTTTAGATGTGCCATCCCGACAGAGACCAGGTTAGTAGAGTGACAAATGAAGACCTTCAGAAGGAAATTGGAGATCTGCGACGTGATTTTCAGGATCAAGTTGACAAGCAAAGGAGGATGTTGTCAGAAATGAAATATTTAGTACTGCGTTTGAAGCACGTAAAGGATAAAGAAGAACAAGAAGAAGATACTAAGAGGCTGGACGGAGGAAAACAAAGAAGATTTTCATCTCCTCAGTAGTTGTTCGAGAACATTTATTCAGCTTAGGTGCAATCTAAATTGTGTGAATCCCTGTACCTTTCTTAAAATTCCACTAGTCTCGAATGAAGATAGAAGCAGAAGAGATTTTTTTATCTAATACTAGATTAATATTTTTATCGAATGTAAGCGCGAGGCGGGCATAAAGGGCGAGTCACAAGCGAGGAGAGAAATTTACATCTGTACAACTGATGTGTATGTGATCCCGGTAAACAAAATGATCCTCATGTTTGCACTGCAATGAACCCGGGACATTTCGAATTGATCGGCGCATAAGATCATATAGGGGGTATTTACGTAGACTATAGTTTGCGAGGTCCGTTATACCAGTCGAAGAAAAAATCAGTCGCAGAACTCTGGGAGTGAGGTGCAGCGCGCTGACATCTTTTTTTTTCTCATTGTTTTCTCATTAACGGACTTCAGTGTATCTGTCACAGTCTGATAAGTGTCAATTAGAAAATAAAAGCAAAAAGAAAGAGCGCATGTACACTTTTGAATGAATTGTATTGATGCTGTAAGGAGAAATTATCTCTTGGTCATCCATGGGAATTAAAGGTTCCACATTGGTTTTCTCTCTTACCTGATATTTCCTGGAATAAATGGGCTTAAATAGGTTTTTTTTTCGTGGAGAAGCGTTGATCTTCATAATTTACAATAGTAAACCTTGTAGAATGTGTTAAACTCGTCAATCTTTGTCTTTTTGTCTAGGTTTAGCCTGAAGCTAACGTCTGACGTAAGTGGAAAGTTGCCTGAATGAATGGTTCAGTAAAAAATTATATTGCATAGTAACTCTGATGGCGTACAAACTCCCAAGAAAATAAAAGTCTTGACTGACCAGGATATTTTTGAAGAAAGAGTTGTTTTAAGAGTATGACTGACAACTCACTTTTGCAGGTGGAAATAAAGATGCTGGTAAATTAGGAATAAGTTGTTAAACAACAGGGGAATGCAAACCCACGCAATTGTATTGAAAGGACTTTCAATAATGTCACGTGTATTTTATATCAAGCAACCATAATCACTAGTGAGTTTCAAATTTCCAAAAAACATAAATAATTTTGTAAGCAATTATAAATATCTAAATTGAAGAGATACTCTTTCGCTAAGTCTGACTAAGCAACATTTAGTTCGCTTTTATGAATATTTTAATATGGAAGGTAGCCAGAAAGTAAAAATAATTTGGACTGGCCGTTGTTGTTCATATTTTTTCTTGGCAAATGTTGAAAAGAATCAGGATCAAATTGCGACAATTACTCTCTTCGTTTTGTAGCAGCATACATAAAATAGCTTAATTGCTCATACTTTTGTTCCACAGTCATATCCAGCATGTCTAGATTTATACTTTTGCGTATCAGACACTTGTTCCCTTTGTAGCCGTTTTTGCGACGTCATGCAACTGATGCACGTTGCGTGACATCCCAGAAAAGGCTGCGAGACATACCGGTACTCGGCAGTTTCATTGAATCATTCACGAAAGTATTATGTGGATACCTAGTTCAACTTTGTTTTCGAACTTGAAAAATATTTAACTTTGTAAAAGATGAGGAGGTTCCTTAGTATTTGCAAAGAGTAATTTTGTGAGAGGATGAATTGTTCACGCATTCAGATTGGTTCTCGCCTATGATCTATTGGAGGACAGACGCGTAGAAGATCTATGAGCAGATTATTAGCAAGATTATCTGGGAGCCCTTCCGTTTACCTTGGAAGATGATAACCGGTTCCTAGTCCCCCACATTGCAAGTTTACCTCCTCCCCGACGAGTTCGCGACGACTAGCAAGAGTTTGCTCCCAAATGCTTTTTAAAAATCCTTTGCTCTTGGCAAAAAATATTCTTCGTGATCATGCATGTTGTGTAAGACTCGGAGGAAAGACCCCACGTTATCCCACAACATTGGAGATTTCACTACCTTCAATGGATCACAATCTTCCGCGTATGCTAAGGAAATGTTGAAAACAGAAAGATACCGATTCCTCTTCTATGCCAAGAAACCTCCCAAAATTCAACAATTTACCCACGTGCAGCGTCACTGAGAAAAAATAAGGCCAATATTCCAAAAATATCTTATTTGCTCTTATTTAATTTTGCCCTGTTCTCACCGCGCCTTCTTTCACAAGTTTCCGCCCAATTCAAATCAAATATTCATATCATCCCGAAAAAAAACGTGATCAACTTGGCTATTTTCTAAGACTACGGCTTCCTGGGGAATAAATATTTTTTCAACCTAGAAAATAACGAAAAGGAAAAGATCTGCATTAAGAATATATTCGTTGATGAAAATAGTCGGAGAACAAAACCAACAGAAATACTGACGGAATTCGAAAAATTCTATTCTAAACTTTACAAGGAAAATTCACTTACTTTGGGTGACTCTATGAATAACTTTCTTAATGGAGCGAACAATGGCAAACAGTGTTTATTTAAAAAATTCAATCGAATTGAATCGTTCATGCAAAACAAAACATCAGGAAATGATGGCCCAACTTCCAAATTTTACTTACCGGTTGGAAGTCTTTTGGAAAATCATTTCATAAACTCTTTACACTCCTCCCATGTTCATGATCAACTCTGTTCTTCTCAGAGACGAGTATTGGTAATTTTTTTGAGAAACAAGATTAGAATAGTCGTTTGATCCAAAATTAGCGCTCTATCTCACTAACAAATGTCGATTTGAGAATAGTTTCAGAAGCCTTACTAAGGGGCTCGAACTTTTTCTCACCGAAATTATTCATTACAACCAAAATGGATTTGTGAAATGAAGATCTGTGTTTGATGCAGTGTGGACCATCAGGGATAGTTTGAAAAATAGCTCTGAAATCTTGGTTGTTATCAAATTTGAAAAATCATATGATTCTGTTGCCCATGATTTCTATTTGAAGTTTCGGAAAATTTAACTTTGGATCGTATTTCAAGCAGTGGATAAGAACCCTTTGTACAGATATATCAAGTCGTGTTATGAATAACGGTGTCAGTTACAAACTCTCTTTTGTACAGAGCATAGGATTCTCCAAGGTGATCCTCTCTTACCTTTCTTTTTTATCATGGGCCTGAAAATTTTTGTGTGTTAAACTAGACAAGATAACAATATGGAAGGAATAAAAATTTACCTCCATTCGCTGATGATATGACCAGTTTTTCAAATATATGCGTGCACTTATGTGTGGTTCTTTACGTGTCTAGAGGCATTTTTGAGATTTTCAGGTAATCAATGTAAAAAAAATCCTTGAAGCAGCGGTGAAAGAATGTTTATCTCTAGCATGTGAATAATTCACTTGCGAAGTGAGGCTTGCTACAAATTGACCAATTACCGTCGAGATTTTTGTGCACTTCAACCTTGATCTGCTACGTATGTGCGTTAATTTTTGTAATCACTCATTGTAGACAGGTTGAGGAAGGAAAACTAGAACCAATCGATTCTTAGTTACAGATGCTATTTTGTAGAACTCCATTCCAGCACATAATCCGTAAGGACTTTCAGTCGTCTTGCGCAGGAAGATAATGGCCGACCCTGGGAAGAAGTAAGTAATGATTGTCAACACTGTTTTGATTAAATTATTACATCACAACGTGTTCTAATTTGTTGCTAGCGTGATGTCTTGAACTCAGGCGAGACTGTTAATTGTGTGGAACATCACAGATTGGACGGGTTTCCCATCCGGAGTTCATTCGACTTAGCTCTGTTCTGCTATAGACTCCAGGTGTTGAATTGCGGAAAAATTTATGCAAATGTATTTTGACTAAGATTGACTTTGAAATAAGTTACTAAATGAGAAAAAAAACTTTGTTGAGGTCTTATATTCTTTCAAAATTAATTCACATAAAGAAATCCTGGTCTTCGCTCTGAAAGCGTTTTTTCTTTCGGTCCTGATTTGGCGAAGGTAGTTTTAAAGCATGTTTGAGCAGGATTTCCCGTTACTCATTATGCACACTTTTCTTTGTTAAGAAACAAGAAACGATAGCGACGTAGTTGATTTCCTTTCGGAATGCGGCTCTGTTTGCAGTTTTTGATTTGTTCCCTTTATCCACAGGCGGCCCAAGCTTCAGCTGTAAGATAATCATCTTGCGAAAGAAGAGTCATGGGGAAATTATAAGAGTTTGTATGGCAATTATTACAACCGCTCTTAAGAATAGAAAAATAAGTCAAATTCTCAATAAAAATACCTCACCTAACGACATAAGCCGAAGCCCTAGAAAAGGAAACTCGCTAAAATGGGTTATTTTCAACATAGCAAGCGGCCAGATAACAAGTGTTGCACTGTGGAAGTAAGTATTGAGAATTTGACTTCGC